CAAGTTGAAGTTGTATTGTTCAGGTTGAAGTTGTATTGTTGAAGTTGTATTATTCAAGTTGAAGTTGTATTGTTCAAGTTGATTGTTGAAGTTGTATTGTTGAAGTTGTATTATTCAAGTTGAAGTTGTATTGTTCAAGTTGATTGTTGAAGTTGTATTGTTCAAGTTGAAGTTGTATTGTTCAAGTTGAAGTTGTATTGTTCAAGTTGAAGTTGTATTGTTCAAGTTGAAGTTGTATTGTTTAAGTTGAAGTTGTATTGTTCATGTTGAAGTTGTATTGTTCAAGTTGAAGTTGTATTGTTCAAGTTCAAGTTGTATTGTTCAAGTTCAAGTTGTATTGTTCAGGTAGTTGAATCCCTCAACAAGTTTTCTGATGGTACATATAACATATATTAGAGAGGTTAAGATACCCCGGTTTCGGTGTACGTGTACGGGTAGCATGATTTTGGTTTGCAATATTTTCGTCGATGTCTGTACCTTTACTCGTAATTAAGGTGCACATTTTTCGCATATCATTGTCTGTTGCAAGAAAACAGAAAAAGTATGATCGAATTACAGACATCAGTAAAACAAGATGACACTACTCGTACCCGTACACCGAAATCGGGGTATCTTAACCTCTCTATTACAACATTTGGGGAAGATTTCTCGACAGCCACTTCTCGACTTTTTGAGGAAAGTTCCTTTGTCAGAAGAGTTCGTAGAAAGATCTTAATGAACAAGTTGCTTTTATACTAAAGTATAAGGTAGAACCATACGAAATCTTGAACAGCCAGGGGAACAGAAAACGAGACAGCTGCATGGGCATCGAGATGACCGAAGCAGACTATTAAAACTACAACACAAAATTAAATTATCGTAGTCGTGATTGATCCAATGAGCCATTGATACGACTTTTATTTGTGAAATATGCAATACACATTAGGTATCTTAAACTAAAAGAGTGCATTCTTTTACAAAGTGGCCCGAAAAAGATGCAATATGTATAGGTTATGGTTGCTTCAAAGTGATTTACCCAATGTTGAAATCATGCATCAGTGGTGCATTGATGACCACTTAGTCAGTCATAACATTGCTTCTACCAGGCCATAGTCTAATTAGTCAAAATTCATTTCTTAGACCAGATGCCCACTAATAATTACCTGTGTGAAAATCTGGAACATAGACAACTGGTATCACCCAATATAATTATATATGAATATATGACTGTCGAAAAGGGGGGGTGCGTCACCCTACACCTTATTTTGAATCTGAGAACCAATTTATGCACGAGTTGTTGTATAAACCAATTAGTTTTTTATAGTGCAGAATAACTTATCGTTACGATTTTCTAGTTTTAGGGTATAGTAAATCCCTAGAAAAATTGTACGTTTACATTGATTGATATTTTCTCTCTAGTTAAAGGGTCATTATCAGGATATTTCTGTCGTTTGTCAACGTGAACCAGGTGGTACCGCTTCTGTACCACAGAGGTCAAAGACACAGTACACCACTATAGATGTGGAGAAAACAAAGGCTTTCCGTAAGACCTGCGAAGATGCAGAAAAAGGACAGTGAGATTTCGTATGTGAAAAGTCATTTGTTTCAATAATCATGCAAGGAAGCCTATCTACTTCGCTTTCTTATAGGCGAACAGGGTTTTCGTTAAACTCGATGTACCACCCAACAAAATCAATAAAACTAACTAACAGTATAGTGTAGAAATATGCTTCATGCTATCGTTCGTATCTAGTTAATTAGACTATTTATAATTATGTCTGTGTAGCCAATATTGAGGGAACTATATAATACATCGAGAGAAATACTGGGTCAAGAAGCATGCATTTGCATAAAGTTCGTCCATATCTACAAAATATTGGGATTGCAATGGACCATTTGCATTATAGACTAAATTTTGATCTAGCTTGAAAGAGCATCACAAAATTAGTAATATTCCAAAGTTTCGTTGCGAAATGTTGTAAAATGCGGATAATATAGCCTTGCGAAGTTTGCCGTTTTTCA